ATACATGGAATAGCAGTGGAACTGCGTGGCCAGGACCACTATTACTATGCCAAATCCTACGTTTGGGCCCTGGAAGGTCAGCTGCGCTCCTTTTTTGCTAAAATTTCTTAGCTACCAGTAGCATCTACGCGGTTTTCTATGTTTAGGCATTAAATGGCAGGAAGGAACGAGCGAAAAATGCTCGTCGAATCGTTTTTTGCTTGCAAGTTGATGAGATAAAAAAAGTAGTACAGTTAAAAGTTCTTTTTCAAGTATTATATATCTGTAATACTTGAAATAATCGTTATTTTTTCTTTTTTGCTTATCCGTGAGGTTGGAGATTTGACCAGTGTTGCACCACTTGATAGTCACTCTCTTGACGATTCTAGCGTCTGTTTCATTTTCTGTAGGGACTGCTAGCTCAAGGAGAAGTAGTTGGCAAAGCTTTAGTCGTTTCGAGATATAATTTATTAATGTTAAGCAACACTGCCTCGTCCCGGACATTTCCACTTCTAGCTATGAAAAAGTATTTAGCGACCGGGAACCATCAAAAGAATAACAAAATTAGGGATAATTATATCCCGTCGTAATTTACATCAGTGCCGTTGAGCAAGTGTACCAAAACATTTCTGGTCCGAATTAGGGGAGGAGAATTTTTCAGCGCTTTTTTTTAAATTGCAGTTTTATTTAGGCGACCGCACAGTGCAGTAATTTTGCATAGTTTTCATCATTCACTGACGAGTTATGTTTTATGATTTTTCAGAATATATCGAGGCTCAGACCTTCTACAAGTTTGTCAGAACTGGCGGAGTTTTTTCATTCAGTGAGGCAAACGAACTGCTACATTTCGACACGGAGGAGAAAGGGTAGGCGTTGTTTAAGGATTCTGAGATAACCGTAGTTGATATTAAGATTGGGTAGTTTACAAAATTTTTATGTGTAAAATTTCTTGTTGTTTAAAATCTGAGAAGTAAGAATGTAACAGTACTTCCACGCTTGCAGTCAGGTTCGATTCCTCCAGTGGGACAGCCAATCCCTCTAGGTTTCTTTTATTTCTTTGGATGGTAAGTTGATATTGGTAAATGCCCGGGAATCGAAACGACCTTTCCCCCAAGAACAGAGGGAGCTGTCGACAGCCTTGCATATGTGTGTATGTGATATTTCTTTTGGCACAGGTGCTACCACTCGAGCTACTTCCCAGTGTCTTGTCTCTCAGGCAGAGAAAATTATGAAGGAGTATTTATTTCTATTTTTCATTATCTTTCTTAAAATTGCCGTTTTTGGAAGAGATACTTTAGGCTGTATGTGACGCTTCCGGTGCTCAGTTATTTGCTGGGTCTTTTCGATATCGCTGGTGAACTGATGAGACTTGCACTCAGTGAGGTATACTTTTTTCGCGGCTCATACGAAGATAAAATATTCGGCGTGTGAGAGCGTATCAGTAACTCTACTAGCATGGGATCCCCATACGACTGTACAGACTGTCTTGATATTTTTGATAAATCTGTTTTGCACTTTGTTTGTGTGTTTTTTTGGGGAGGAAATGCTAAAATGCTAGGAAAGATGAAGATGGAAGAGGAGCAATTCACTCATGAATTTTTCTCAGGAACATTTTATGACCTGATAAGAATTATCGTAATTTTATCACATTTTCCTATATTGTTATGCGTTGAAAATCGAGGATTGTGCATAACCTGTACACTGAGTTTTTCTGCACTCCCATACTTGAGTATTTTTTGCATTCCGTAATTTGCTGGCATTTAACAATTCCCTTGAATTTAATGTAAACTTGGAGTGCCGCGTCAACTGTTGGGATCTTGTATCTTCTCCTCTGCCATTCCAAAGGCACTGAGGTTATTAGCTTACATTTTAGCATAATTAAAGCATCGAAATTTTGAGCAGTTCCGAATGTTTTACCGGAATATTTCTATTTGATTCTGTGAACTTTGTTTTTTCTAAACTACGTCCATGGCTTTTTTTTAATGTACATTTTACGTAATTGGGTAGAAACTGTCAAAAAGGGTCACTCAAAAAATACTTTTCACATTTTTATCCGGAACTTCTGCTTCGTTGTATTGCATTAACCCTTATTCCACCCCTCTTGTCCTCTCACTCCGTATCCAAGATTTTTGTGTTAATTTACGCCAGCTTTTTTAATAGATCGTTGAAATTGAAAGTCCAAAAATCGTTTCAAAATGAAGCAGTTGCAGATTTCATCAGGCAGTTCCGACATTCCAGTAAGCATTGTTAATTACATGCACGCTCTTTTCGAGCAGTACGCATTTCTGGGAAGACCAGCTGAGTGCCCCGAGTGGACAAAGAAGATCGATGTGTTCCGCGAATCACTTATGAAGGTTTGTTGATATTTTCGTTTCCCTTTTGGCACAGGAAGGGAAGGATTTTGCCTTCGAAGCTTTAAAGTTCTGCCGACATCGTGCTGGACTCATGACCGCTTATGTGAACCTCGACAGTTTCGTTGCCGAATTTTCATTAGTTTGCTTTGTGTTCAAAGGTTTTCGGGCGCATGTTTGGAGCAAATGTTGTAAATTGTCCCAGTTCCTGTAACTTCTTTTGAAGATCTGTGATCATCAAGCAATGCTGTTAACTTTCTCGTCGTCAGTCACTTGTGGTACCAATTTTTGGGATAATCCGGAGATTTTTGCCTAGCCTACACCGAAGGCATCTTGAGATGGGTGAAGTTTCCGGTTCTGTTGGAAGAAAATCCGATTTGTTCTTCCTTCTAGGAGGCGAAAGAAAGCAAGAACCATCAGTAGGCTGATGATGCAATACTGGGCATGAAAGCTGGAGAAGTTGCTAGCTGCATAGTTGCAAAATCAGGCTGTGGATTAAACCTAATCCAAGCATTCCAAGTATATCAGCATCTTCTTTCTAACTGCTCAGTTTAAGTGAAAACATCAATTGGCACGTGAGGAGAAGTAAATTATCAGCCTAGAGCAGCTTAACTGGCCCGGTAACAGTAAATAAGTACCAATGCTTGGAATTCTTGGCGCATACAGGAATTAAGTTAGTCGAAATTAAGACATTTTAGCCCGTTAAGCCATATACGCTCTAGCTCAGAGGTTCCACAGCCGGACCTCGTCAGTACAGCATTTGAAGTGTTATTATTATATAATAAATTAGGTTATATAACAAAGTTATTATAATTATTATTATTATTATTATTATTATTATTATTATTATTATTACTGTATAACAAATATAAGAAATCAGAGATTAATGCCTGGAATTGCAGCTGTGTATAATGAATGCTGATTCACTATCAGCCATTATGAATCTTTATCAAGTGCTGTATCGGTAATTGTATGTCTATTGTATGTGTGTATTTTCAGGTTGAAAATGCTCTATGCAAATGGACAGTTCGAAGGATTGAAGTGCCAGACCACATGACCAATATGGTGCCTTTCATGCCGAGCAGTGCTGCATGTATTGAATAACTGTTCATGCGCCTTCTGCAAAATCCACAGAAATTTTTTTTGCTCATTTTTACTGTGGCAAAAGATCTCCGCTTCACGTTTTTATATAATAACAAAGTTTATAGTTTTTATTCATGTACAAGTCTAACGTAAAGGTGCGTTGTGTAATGTTAAGTAGGCCTGCTTTTAAAGATTGAGGGTTCAACTCCGCCAGTGTGACAACCAATCCTTCAAAGACTTATTTGTTCCATTTTATGATTAAATTGGTATTGGCGCATACAGAAAATTCGATTTCATCATCAGCTTATTCTAAGCAACCTTCAGAAGACGGAGTCACAGCTAATCTTAACATCGAATGGTTACTGTTGGCATGTGCTACCTTCTGAGTGTCTTTGCCTTTCACAGGGAGTGAATATGGAGGCATTTTGATTTTAAAAAAAATTAAATGCAGTATATGCCATTTATGTACAAATCCTGGTTCGTGCAGTCTATAGTATGATTGTTTAAGCATAAATAAAGGCACTGTCAATACAATACATTTTTATGCGTTTTTGCATCAGAACAAGCGTATACGGCGGAATTACATCTCTATGCATATGAGAAATTTTCCGGCGTCATGAATCAACTTGAAAACTACGAAAATTATGAAATGAACTTCCTGAGGCTGAAAATTAGGAGGCCCAACAACTGAAAGCATATGCTCTGGTTATGCATAGACCTAGGAATTTAATTTTACATCATTAATTTTACATAGTTCTACATCCCCTCGATAACTACTTTGAGGGACACGTGATCGAGCTGGTCACTCAGTCGTCTCATACAAAAACGTACAAAAGTAACCCGTTTCGCACAAAAATCAGTAATAATGTATTATCACGACTAATCATGTCTTGTCGACTCGAGCTTATCGTTTGCTTCATTGATTTTGGCTGCCAGATAGGGCGATCCGCCACGATCCGGATGATTTGCGATCATGATACGCTTGTGCGCTTCCTTCACTTTCGATGCCGGTGCACTGGGCGATACGCCGAGGATAAGGGCCGCTTCGCGTCGC